CGGCTAAATGAGCGCAATAGTAATGTGGATTCCATGATAGAAACGGCATACCCGAGTAGATGCTGGAGGGTCTCAATGACGAATGCTGGATGCTATCTCAACGCGTTTTGAGCAAGAGACAAAGGGAGCATAAAATGAAAAGACGTACATTACAAGATCCCCATCTTTTAGAACTTCGATTGGACTCTGATCCAGCAACTCAAAGTCATCAAGCAGGAGCTTGATCTCGGCAGGACCGGCAGCGTTCGTTAAATCGTGGATCTTTGAGCAAAGAGCAAACTTCAGGTCATTGATGGTGCTGATGGGGAGTTCGTGCTGGAGCAAAGAGGAAGGTCCCGCATTGTTGTTGCTATCGGGAACCGCAAACCATGCCTTGATGGTGGGCAGTGGTGGGCGCGACAAGACTCGAATGCGCATGTTTCGGCGTGACTGTGTGCAAAAACACGTGTGACTCGACTCGAACCTAAAGTTGAATAGGCCCAGCTCGCTGAGATCTTCAAGCAGGCCTGGAAGTACCCGCGAACGACTGCAATTAATTGATCTATCATTGCTGATGGCCACCACTGTGGATCAGTTTGTAATACCCAGTAGATTGTTCATCGCAAACTCGTGGCAGTTTCGGAAGCACCACCCATTGTCGGAGCTTTCATATCGATATATCAACTGAGCGACGAGCTTTGGTCCATATTTGGGATTACCGCAGAGTTAACAAAGCCCGATATGATGGTTACTGTGATATCTGAGGGTCCAAAACGATGGCAAGCAAGAGAAAAAGTGACCATGTGGATCTCTTTGGTATGTGTGTGTGATAGCGACGGGTATCTGGCTGGGTTGCTCGCAGTTGTTCCCTGAAGAAAAGCACCCGCATCATGAACAAAGGACGCACCCCACGTCACATGTGTACGAGGCTTCGGGAATATCAAAGGAACGTGGGGGGCGGTATATTTTTGCCTACCCCAGCGAGGACATCCCGCGGGCCTGTCAGCGCTCGGCGGCTGGAACGGAGTCGAGGGTTTTTCTTGCACCGGGCTGCCAGACCGGTCTAGCCCGACAGACGATCCTCCCGCTTCTCATCCCTAACAGTCTCTTGTGAGATCAGCTTTGTGAATCTGATTCTCAACGATAAGAACGGTGGACTGGACGTGCGACCCCAGGAGCAGCATGATCAACATTAGCATAGAAAAACTCCGTAGCAAAGCAACCAGAATCGTGCGGGGATATTTCATGGCCCGACGTTTGAGTTTGCTCGCTCCGTAAATCCTCCACCGCCTGGGATTCGTTGCGAGTCAGAGCGGAAGGTGGTCGCGACCGTTGCTGGTTCAGAAGCTTTTTTGTGCTGCTGATGATGATAATATGATGCCAGAGCTGAAGCTTCTAAATATTACATCTCGGATCACATACAAAGGCCGAATCTGGATGGACAAAGGCGTTTCGTCCACCGATGAAATTTAGCTCCCGATTTCCTTCACAGACGCCGATTGCCTTTCTCAGCATGAAAGGCAGGGGTGACCGGTGTCACAATGTCACGCATCGAGGGTCCCGCTCATTGCTCCTCCATGCCTTGCCACCCATCTCTCTGACGCCTTTGATCTCCATCCATCTTTGGGAAAAGAAAGGCCATTGAGTGGCGCGGAAAGGCAAACGCGAACTTCTTTCGCGCATTCCATTTGCTCCATTCATCCTTCCCTGAAAGAAAGGCTGGACCACTTGGCAATGCTGTATATAACACCTCGCTCGTCGACCACCGTCATCCCCTATCACTGCCCTTCATCACCAGCACAACCAACCCAACCACCCAAGCCGCCTTTTACAGACCGCGCTTGAGACTGAGTCAGCTCTTGTCCACTTGCACAAACTCGTTTGGTACGCTTCACTTGCTTGCTCATCGTCACTTGGACGCGTCGTCTGACATATTTTTTTGGCACATCCTGCAGATCTAATTCCCATACCCATCCCCCATACTCTCTTGCATAATGTGCTACAACGTCCACTGCACCACTGTCTTCCGCGCTTGCAGCCACTCGCACACCAAAATCCAAAAGGATGTCGATTGCTACCAATCGGACTGCCGCCGCTCAGTTGCCCACAACCAGGCAAACTGCCGCCTCTGCGCTCGTAATCCCGAGAGCTGCCGCACTAAGCGACTGTGAGCATTTATTCATCTCGCCCCTCCATGACTTGCGTTGCTGACTCTCCTGTTTCTCTAAGACCGCACCGCGAAATCGAGACCCTCGACCCCATCAACACTTGCCCCTGGTGCAACGCGTCTCAGCCGCGTATGGGCATGCGCGTATAAGCGCTCCTATTCTCCCCCCTTCCATCCCCTCGCTCTGGGCGCTCGCCCCAGGAGTCGGCTGCTGCTGTGCGGCGACTGGCTCCAGTAAAGCCGCCTTCAAAATTGGGTGGCACAAGGCGCGTCACGGTGCCCGCTCGCGACTCTACCCTATTTCGTTCATCACCCAGACTCTCTACTCGACTGCATACATCTCGACTCGATCGCACTTTTTGCATCCCATCCACTGCCTCCTAATACTGCATCGCTTCCTCTTTCGTCACAAAACTTTTTCTCCACCTACTACCCGCCGCCGCCCATACGTTATTTTAGTAGCCGAACGTAATGTGATCTGCACCGCGCCACTGTATTCTTAGCCTCTCTCTCTCTTTTCTTCTTTGCAAACCTCGATCATCGAGGAATGCCTTTGTGTTTCACTGTCGTCTTCGGGATATCCAAAATCGAATATGTATCGTTCGTTGTCATGATTCGCTTCTCGAGAATGATTCTGTGTGAGTGAGGGCTTTTTGTCGGAATGGGCTTTTGGTTCCGTGCCCCGCGGCGCGCCGTTTCCCTGTTTCATCGAATCGTGGCCCGTTGCCGGGTGTGCGCGCCGTCATCAGCATGTCACATTTATAGACTGTATTTGCATATATCTTTACTGTATATGGATCGGCGGCCTCCTCGGATCTCCCGACGACAGTGTTAATCATTCAATGGGCCAGAGTTAGTTAGATGCGCTGGGATCTCCTGAGTGGGTTGACATCTTCCATACAGAAGAAGGCGCACCGATCTTTGCATGGCCTCATACAAAAACTCAGGAGAAATATGACGCTGGGGGTTTAAGCGTTCGCAACGGCCTCGGCACGAATCCTATTCAGAACGCAGGCTGACCGTGCCGGTCACTCGGAAGATTCGATCTGGGATCTGTGCTTGCAGTTCATTGAGGATCGTGGATCTGAAACAACGACAACGACAACGGCTTGACGTACCTCCCCTCCCCCGGCGCCCATTTCGTCCTTGGACCCTCCTGTCAACTCTGGCAACGGTCCCGGAAACCATTGACGTCGACGGGCAATTGGTCCTTTCTCGAGAACCCGTTCCATAATTATGAGATAGAATATTACATTCACTCCTTCATTAGGGCGGGACCGTCGACGACCCGCTTGGGGTACAATGGAGGCAGGCGATTCCATATTTGATCGAAAAACACAATGGCCTGAGTTGCCGCGCTATCCTTTTTTTGTGAATTCCGAAACTCATCGTTGCGCGGAATGGGCGGTTCACCCCGTCAATGATTGCCACCTCAAGCCCTTCTAGTGCAACTGACAGACCAAGCTCCACTATTACGGTCGGTTCCGTTGGCAAGGGGGGCAAGGTGAGCGTGGAGCGCGGGGGCAGTTTTTCTTGTATGCCGCACGCGCCCCAAAAGCCGACGTGCCGACTGTCTGCCCCAGAATCCCGGGAACTCTGATTCTGACTCATGGGTGGGGCAAGATCTATTCGATATAGCCATCTTGAGATCGGGTAGATCCAAACCAGGCTCGGTGTCGATAACTGGGGGAGGGACGTTGTGCCGCACATTCATAGCCAGCGGGTAAGGGAGATAGATCGCCACGTACGATGCACAATAGCCAAAGGTTGTGGAGGAGACCAACGTGCGGCGGACGAGATGAGGGCGTCGTCATGCGCCACAGCGATGAAGCGAGCCTGGAACGCGCGGTCTGCATTAGTAATTGAAAGGAGGCCGAGTAGGAGTCCTCCTCAGAAAACAAAAAAGAAATCGCTCAAAATCCGCCTTATTCATTGATGACTCGCACCCATGCTGATCACGTTTCACCGCACTAACCGCCGAGCTAGTCTGACTGTCGAACCGGAGATAGCGAGCTAACGTCCGCTACGGCGCGAGTCATTGTGGCCAGTTTCAGGACATGCATACACTCGTTTCGCGGATTTACGCTGTGCATGAGAAGCCGAGATTCGCCCCATATCGAACTTTGCTTGTCCAGACAGACTGAATTCTGACATGCGATGGCTGCATGCACCGTATGGCAAGGGTCCTTTGACGTGCTAAAATTCTGGGCCAATCACTCCCGAAACGGGATGGGCCTATCCGTTGACGCGCGCTCCTAAGCACGGTTGAGGCAAAAAATATCATCACGAACTCTGGTGAATATAGCTCCAAGCGCGTGACATAGGGGTCCTGGCCGTTCCAGGGGCAGTTGACCCCTGCTCGAGACCCACATCATATGAGCAGGCTCTAAAGTGATAGCATGAGTATTTATATTAGGGCCGTGAAACGAACGTCTTGAGAGGGCTTGTATATGAGTATCTCCTCGACTACAAGAGCACCAATTTTGCTGGCAGAGAGCGATCGTTGAATAGAATTGTGGGAGGTCGTGGGAACTACATTTGCTCGTCCACTGCTTGCCTTTCATTCATATTTATCTTGCCCCGACATGATGAACGCACTAGAGCTCTACTTAATCAGAGTTCTGGTGGACCCGAGAACCTCGAGCGTTTTGTTGTCGTGCATGCGAAGCAGAAGCACTGTTCCTTGCAGGTGGAAAGGCACAGAAGGCCTTGTCCAAGTTGAAATATATCTCAGCTCGTCGCTAGAATGTTGTTGAATGATTAGGCATGCAAAGAGGTAGAAACTAGAGTAGCTGTCTGCGCCTTGCTGCAATGATCAGTGCTGAGCTATTGTACCCTGAGCATAGCATGTGAAGCAGGATTAGCTCAGCGGTTAGAGCGTGCGATTGCAACTAGGCAGTAATCGCGAGGTCCTTGGTTCAATTCCGAGATCTTGCTCACTTTTTGCTCTTCCATGTGCTTGTGGATCTTTTTGCTTGTCACTGTTTACGGGATCGTGACATCTTCTCCTCGCTACCGTTGGCGGCATCTGCACATCATGGGACTCCTCACAGTTATACGAAAGAACCAGCGAAAGGAGCGCGAAATGCGAGTTTTATTCTTGTGAGATGTGTTTCCTCGGCCGAAAGAGGAGGAAGACGTCGATTGAGTTTGCTTCACTCAGAGGGCTTGACAACGCAGGAAAGACGACAATCTTAAAACGATTGAATGGAGATGATATCAACTCTGTGAGCCCAACTCTGGGATTCGAGATTAAAACGTTTATCCATGGCAAGTAAGATGCAAATCTCCTGTCTCTCATGCCGGTTCCCGATCTCAGCACCCATGACAGATATACTCTAAACATATGTAAGTAACATTGAAGCTCACGTGAAGCTATCACCTCACCTGGTCGTGCAGGGGACGTTGGTGGCCAGCGTACCCTTCGACCGTATTGGAGAAATTACTTTGAGCAGACCGATGCCCTTGTCTGGGTCGTCGACTCTGCGGATCGGATGCGCATGCAAGACTGCAAGGAGGAGCTCCACTCTCTACTCAAAGAAGATGTATGTGAACAAGATCCACCCCATCCGTGAGGATCTCACAATCTCACTATGGGACATAGCGGCTGGCAGGGGCGAGTCTCCTTGTGCTCGCAAACAAGCAGGACCTCGATGGTGCGATGACGGGCCCAGAAATCAGTGAAGTGAGCATGCGTATAGACTTCCTTGATAGTAAGGCTACTGATTGTATGTGCTACATACGTGACTTAGGCCCTTTCCCTACCGGCAATACGAAGCCATAACTGGCGAATCATGCCCTGCAGCGCTGTCAGTGGCCGCAATGTATCCGAAGCATTAGATTGGATTGTAAATGATGTCGCGGACAGGATATACTACAATGCATGATAACGAAGTAATAGCTGCGTACTAGATAGGAGGAGCATGAGAAGCAAGAAATAGGAGTCGTCTAGATGAGCAACGAAATAACGATGTGGATAGCGAAATTATGGCGCGATAACGACAAGATAATGTTCAGATTTGGCTGAATTGACTCGAGTTAAAGTCATCCCATTCGTCCTTGTCCCAAGAGTCGGAGAGCATCCTGCGAATATCTGAGGGAAGTTCTGCTTGAGACTGTACAAATATGTGAGCATCATTGGTAGGAGGTGTGGATACTGTTTTCTCACCGCTGCACTTGAGCTGGTATGTGATCCGGCATCACTCTCGCTTCGCAGGCTTGAACGGGATTGTTGTGGGGAGGGCGCCGGTCTGTGCCCTGTAGCAACTCTGACCGGCGACTTTGAGCGCGAGAGCTTCTCTTTTGCTTGTTCCTTAACAGAGGTCGAGGTATTTCTTGACGGCGAAGCAGACTTAGGAAGAAAAGGCTGTTTCAACGACAAGAGAGTTCTCGGATTAGTGGGGGCGGGGACATCGAGGCTTTCCGGCTCATATAAGGAATGAGAGGCAAGCCGGTATTCGTGAGAGGGAAAGCCCCTCCTCCGTATTGTTGCATGAGAGTGAGCCCCAGATTGGGATGGGAACTCGGTGTCGTCAAATGAGAGTCGAACAGGGGAGAGCACGATAGGCTGTTGATCGTCCTCGTCAGGTTCCTCTTTCGCTGCAGCAAAAGCATCCAACAACGAGGGCCGAGGATGCATAGCCGATGCAGGATTACCAGGCCGTTTGAAAATAGTATCCATATCCTCATCAAGCGTATCGTACTCGTAGAGTGACTGGGGTGCCAGGCGGTATTCTTGCTTGCCTTTGGATGGCGAGCCCACGGTTTTGATTCTTGAGCTGTGAGCACTATCCTCGTCCGCGCTGATGTACCCGTCTTCAGAAGGAGTGCTTTCGACGGCCTGGATATCGTTCGCGGGCTCCTCACGGAGTGTGTGCAGTTGGGTTTGCGAGCCAGACTGTGTGGAAGGGTCGGCTCGAGCTTGGGAGGAAGTGGCACCCCGAAGACGCCGCTGGGACGGGGTATCGTCGTTCTCTGGAGAAGAACTTCTCCTAACCGGAGGGCTGAGGAATTGGGGCTCTGCAAATGAAACCCTCTGGGAGGCTTTCTCTAATCGAGGGGCAGGTTGGATGGCGCCAAGAGGGCGCATGGGGAGAAGAAGGATAGTGTCCGTGATTCGGAGAGTTTCAGGGGTTTGGGAAGAGGGTATGTAGGAGGCAGAGCGCTGGGAAGGCGTAACAGGTTGATTAGTGACACTAATCTCGGTTGACTGTGAGGCTGGAGCTGGCGGAGGCGATGGTGTGCGGTATAGTAGCCGAGGAGATTCGTCCAGCGATCGAATTCGTTGGGGACTTTGTAGTGGCGAAGGAGAAGGGGAAGGTGTAGCGATTTTCTTCTTTTGAGGAGAAATTATCGGAGGATGGTTCTCGGTCTCATCGAGCACATCATCATTACGGACTTTTTTACGGACTTTTGAAACGCGATGGACAATGCGAAAATCGAGCATTTGTGTCTGAGAAGATGGGATAATATCGTCCTCCATGCTATCTTCTAATTGGTCATTATCAGACATATGAAGTCCAGATCCGGATGGTTGGGGCGAGCTAGCAAGACAGAGGCTCTGTAAATCATTGATGCTGGGAGTGTTTCTCTTCAAGGGGTCATCATAATCCTTTCGATCCTGAGATGAAGGAGGGTGAGGGACGGGAGATGGCGTGCGAGAGGGGAGTGGGGGGTCAATGGGAGAAACCGGTAGAGCAAAGGAGGCCTGATGGGAGGAAGGGGAACGTAATTGACGCTGAGAGGTCGTCGGAGGTGGTGTATATAGGCCAGCAACGGGATTCTGAGGGTCTGACTCAAATGGAGATGATTCTGCAGAAAGTGTTAGACAGAGCCTCAAACGATATAGCATACAATATATTTACCGTAGTCGCCTCGATAAATTCTATTTGGAGCACTCGCTCTTTTGCGTTTCTTGGCCTGTGGTAGCCACTCGTCGTCGTCCGATTCACCAGAGGGCCCGGGAGCAGAGCGACGAGGCGGTGGCTTTCGTTTCTTGGATTTAGAGGCACTCAATAGACGTTTCGGGGAGGAAGTGGGAGGAGATGGGGAGCTCAAGTCAATGGCGCTGGCTTTTGATGAACCAGCTGCATTCTGCGGTGTCCGTGGACGAGAGAGCATCGGCCGCATGAACTGTGCAAGCGTAGGCTGGGATTCGCCCACCACGAAGCGCTTCTTCTTGGGCATGACCGGCGTCGACGATGATGTCCACGCTCGACGGCAGTCACACTGTGGCACGCGACGCGTCTGGCCAAACAAACACTTGTCAATGAGTGCCAAACGCCCACTGTCACCCTCTGGAGAGAACGTTGAGGAACGCCCGGCCAAGATCATGGCTCTAACTGAGAACACCATATCGGAGAGCGCGCCTCCCGTGCCTACCTCTCAGTTACTTATAAAGAGAATCTCGGATCGCGCAACCGTTCCAACGCGTGGATCCCAACACGCGGCAGGCTATGATCTTTACAGGTAACGCGTTCATCAACCGTCGCTGCAATCTTTCCTGCGCTAAGCGTGACTTCATATAGTGCCGAAGATAAGGTCATTCCTGCAAACGGAAAGGCGTTGATCGATACTCAGATCTCCATCGCCGTTCCTCTGGGGACATACGGGCGCGTGGCTCCTCGAAGCGGTCTGGGTATGTGCTTCACCCTCTTTCATGCTTGCAAAGCTGCAAAATATTGACTGTACCCGACGTATCTCCCACTCAGCCTCGAAATTCATGATTGCTACCGGGGCAGGCGTGATCGACGCCGACTACCGAGGGATAGTTTTTGTTCTCCTTTTTAACCACTCAGATAAGGACTTTGAAGGTCGGTTCATTCACCCTGAGCAACGTTGATCCCAAAGGCGCCCCTCATCTGACGCTACGTGCCCGTGTCCAGTCAAACCAGGAGACCGCATTGCCCAGTTGATTCTGGAGAAGTGCGAAACGCCACCAGTGCTCGAGGTGGATGTAAGTATTACAGTCTCCCTCCAGCGTCTCTTATGTCTGCTTCATTGACGATATTCTATGCAGAGCCTCGAGGAAACACTCCGTGGTGCTGGTGGATTTGGCTCCACAGGTGGCTATGTCGGGTTGTGAATCCATCGTGATGGGGAAAAAAAAATTAAATAAATCTTGGATTGCCTTATATCTCCACTCCATAAATAAATAAAGCATGTGCTCCCTTGATCATAGGAAGGGTTGAGATGGGCTGAACAGAAAACCAACCGACTCCTCCAGTCATCCAGGCGGAGCTCTCTCGGTGCCGATTCTCCTAAATAAAGCTCGAATGCCCGTTCTACACATTACCTCCATGTAATAGCTCTACAACGCGTTCTCTCTATGTGCCTGATACCATGAGTGATGTGACGCAGAACAGAAAGCGCGGATCGTTCGTGAAATGTATTGTTCTGTTCAAATCACGTGGTCACCCTCAGACTTTATTGTAGTGACCACCCTCATCGTCAACGCGCGTCTGGAGTGTTACCACCGCGTTTTTACCTGCTGGTCTGACCACAAACAGCGAATCGACGCGACACGATGGCCGACCATGGGGATGGTAACATCAAGGTCATTCCTGATGCTCTAACGCGCTCCGCGGTCTCGTCTGAAAGTTGCCGGTCTCATATTCTAGGTCGTGGTTCGCGTCCGGCCCCTGAACTCACGAGGCATGTGTGGCCATTCGACTCTGCCATCTACGTTGACTAACGATCCTATCTTGTTTCGCTATGCTCTGCTTCCTGATTGACCTACAGAACTTGCCCGAGGGGCGAAGAATCTCATCCGCATGCAGGGTAACCAGACTTTCCTCGATCCACCCGACAAGGAAGACACGAGTGCTGGGAGAGCCACTGAGAAGAAAACCATGTCATTCAGCTTCGACAAATCATACTGGTCCGCAGGTCCCCGTGATGAACCCCAATATGCAAGCCAGCAGACGTTGTACAATGAT